GCAGTTGATTGGACCTGATAGAATCCAACCAAAGACTGTGCGTTGGCCGACGACTTTTGACTGCTTGGACTTGACAACTTCATCTCTGATGATTCGCCCGTAGTTGTCAGCCCCTATGATGATATCGATTGGTCCGGGCTTGAGATACTGCTGATCTGCTAGCTGTAGATTTTCTAATGAACCGATGTTCGCTGAGGCACGTGAGAACGATGGTAGAATTGCGGTGAGTCTCTTCAATATGTAGGCGCTGATCTGAACCTGTTGATTTCCGTTGATTGCCTGAAGTGTAACTGATACCAATCCTCTCGTGCTACCGGAATTAACTCCTCCAATTCCGATTAATTCCAACGTTGTTGATTTCCTGGACAAGTGCAGTTGATTTACTAGATTTTCTGAGATGAATGACACCTCTGATCCCTGATCGATGAGGACTCTGGCTCTGCTGGAGAATCCTCGTGGTGATTTCACTGTAACTCGGGCTGTCGCCAACAGCACCGATTGTTGATCTTCTGAAGGTTGATTTGACTGCTGGTTCTCATTGATCATCTGATTGTTGAGGTTAACTGCTGCTGTTGACGTACTGGGCTTAGCTGTTGAGAATGACCAATGAGAAAGTGAATGTACTGATTATTTAAAGGAACATTCACTTACTCTGGTCCTCGTCGATCCTCTCTTCTGCAGGTCTGTTGGCAGTTCCAGAGAACCCTGCAGCTTCCGAGTCACGACGTGGGGGAGCCCATCCTGTGTACCTGCTGCCTCCGTGGATCAGAGTGTGGTGAGATCCTTTGCACTTATGGCATTGTTCGTCTGAGCTGCACCTGTCTTTTTTGTGCGGGCCCAGGCACCTGAAGCATAGTTTTTTGTCGATGGCCAGGCCGTTTCTCTTTACTGGGTCCAGCTCCTTGAATTGCTGACACTTGTCAACAAAGTGGTTCCCTTTGCACATGGAACACTCTTTCCTTTGGTGACTGTTCTGCTGAGCGCTGTCCTCCACTTGTTGAGTTGCTGCGTAAGCTCCTTTCTTCTTAATAGGTGGTTTGCTGGGAGCGGTGATCTGCTCTCTGGAGTGGAGTTTGAACCCTGCGTTCATACTCCTGGCACAGGACTCCACGAATAGGACGAACTCTTTGAGACTGGGGAAATCCTTGGCGTCTCCCAATTTCAATTCCCATTGTCTGAGGGTCTCTGCGTCCAAGGACTTCCTCAGGAGGTGAGCGAACAGCTGTTCTGTTAGGTTCGCTTCTGAAAGGCCGGCCACTGGCCGGCACCTGTTCTGAGCTGGTCCAGCGACTCGACTACTGCTGCCACGTTGTCGGTGAGATTCTGTTCCGTGGGTTTGGTGATTTTTGGCAACTCCAGGACTCGATTAAATAAGTACTGTGCCAAAAGTCTGGGATCATCGTACTTCTTTTGGAGCTTTCTCCATGCGTTCTCATAATTCTGATCGCTGATGGGTATCGTAGAGATCAGAGCTGCTGCTGGTCCTCTGAGGCTGCTCTTCAGCCTCACCAATTTCTCCACTGGGGGAATTGTAGATTTGCTGCCCACCAGTGAAGTGAAGAGGTCACTGAACTCCTTCCACTGTGAAGGATTGCCATCAAAAGGCTTGATGTCCAATCTCTTCAGCTGATCGTGGTGTTGAGGACTCGGTGGTGTACTGGGTGGCTGAGCTTTCTTAGCTAGTTGACCCCTCAACCTGCTGATGAGCCTGACGCATTGCTTCCTGGTGGTGGCTGCCTGCTCGAATACCCCGTTCGCGAGATACGGGTGATCGTGTGGAATGGACTCGATCAGGCTCCTCTGGATGTTGAGTAATTCTGCCCATTCGGAATCCAGGATCCTATCGTGGCCGTCCAAATCCTCGGAGGTGACATCCTCGTCGGTCATGATGACCTTGGTAAGTTCCTGATAAACCTCCGTAATATNCTATCGTGGCCGTCCAAATCCTCGGAGGTGACATCCTCGTCGGTCATGATGACCTTGGTGAGTTCCTGATAAACCTCCGTAATACTGTCCACCCTGAGCTGTATCTGCCTCAGTTGGATGAGTTGATGCACTGTGAGACCATCCTCTGGAACTTGAATAATCTCGGAGTACCTCTGCTTGACATCCGAAATTAATTTGTCCCCTTGATTGAGTGTACCTCCATCAGGGGCATTGATGATGACCTTCGGAATTCCAGGTGGTGAGTTTACTGCGCTCGTTGATGGATTAATTTCCTCCTTACGGTCCTGCAACCCTTGTTCACTTACTGTTTCGGAGCCTGACATGGTGATGTACTGTTTTGTTTACAACCTGTCAGATCCCTAAATGTAAATGAGTACGAGAGTTTCTACTTTACCGACCGCCTGCGGTTTACCACTCGGTGAGTTGCTGTGTTGCGTCGGTAACTGGTCGTCTCTGCTGCTGTGAGGCGCCGCCTGTTGCTGGGCGCTGGGCCCGCGCTGAGACTGTTCGGCAACACTCGGTGATTCTCGCTGACTCTCGACTCTACGGCACGTTGAGGCACTGGAGGACAATGGTGTTTATACTTCTATTGTCCGGAGAATATAAACACTGGCACAAACACGTCTGAATTTGTCCGTTGCGTTTCTGATGTGAACTCCGAATGTCCGCGTGGGTTTTTCACTGCACTGAATAATTTCACACTACCGATTCCCGAATCCGGCTCGAAGGACCATGTGTTTGGAGGGAAAACTGAATTTAGGGTGGATTGGGAAAGGGGTAGTGGAAATGCCGGTGAAAAACGAACGCACTGAGTCTATAAAAAATATACTGATTTATTCGGTGGAATCGAACCACCTTAGCGTCACTTGTTACACTCTGTTAATTGTCACTGAAATTAATTCAAACTGTGCTGAATTTAACACTAGAGATTTTCTGAACAATATACTGAATAATAGGAGACTGTACTGAGAATTTAAATAGGAGATGTATTGAGAAAACAAAATGTCTCGAACGGGTGATGTACTGACGCTGTTCGGACAACCGAAAGTAGCTTTAGAAAAACGATATACTGCTCGCTCAACTCAGTTGCTACGATTCTCTCCGACAGACTCACTCTGAGATTCGGTGTTGACTAGGCCTGACCGTTGACCCGAGGTTTCCCGAAGATTTTCGTAAGTGACCGATCTGTGGTCAACCGTTGATGTACTGAATTTTGACTGCGTTTCAAACATAATCTAATGCAAAAATCATGTAAACCCAATAATTTATTAAATAATTGCAATAAAGTCTTGACTAATTTTTGGTCATTATTTAAAAAACTATTGGGTGTACAGCATTTTTATATTAGATTATGTTTGAAACGCAACTAAAATTCCAGAACATTCTGGTCGACCATCGGTCTACTTCGAAACTCTCCCGGACCCTTCGGGTCATCGGTCGTAAGTCGCCGAAACACGCGCGGGTCAGTTTAGACTTAGCCTCTCACCGTACAAGTCTATCTCGGGCAAATCACCTGTACAAATTTTATATCGCACCTCACCGAGTACAGTAGCTCTTTGAACCTCACCTAGCTCACTAGTAATCAAGTACATCACCGGTCTTTGTAAGATCACCGTTTTGTTCAGTACATCACCTCTGTTGATTAAATTCAGCCTAAAGTCAGTGACTCAACGAATTTACTGTGAAAGATAATCATCAATTTATTTAGACATTCAACTATTGAAAACCAAAGAGTGTAAATAGATTTGACAACGTGGTTCGATCCCACAAAATAAAGTGTGATATTTTAAATCCGGCTCATCAGTAATTTTCCCAACATCTCCCTCCACATTTTCATCCCACATCCACCCTAAAGCTAGTCATTCACGAAACAGATTATCTTTGTTGCAAATTCGATTTGCGACAAAAAATAATTAATGGAAAAATCCCCTAACCCCAATTGTTTACCACATAATTGGAAAAGAGGGTGTTTCTTCGGAAAAATTCCGAAAATCACAGCTATCCTTTCGATTTCTGAGGCGATTGTTTAATTGTTAATTATCTCAGATAACAATAGGACTAGAAAATTTTGTCAGTAGACCTTGTTTGGTGAGGAACTAGTTTAGGGTGGATGTGGGATGAAAATGTGGAAGGAGATGTTGGGAAAATTATGGTAGGCGTTTTATAAAAAATCTCAATATATTTTCGTGGGATCGAACCACTTGTCACTATTGCCGTACACTCTTTGGTATAATTAATGTTGAATGTCTAATTTTCACTGATAATTGTCTTTCACTTTATCTCGTTGAGTCACTGAAATTACTGAACTTAATCAACAAGTTGATGTACTGAACAAAGATATTAAATTTAGAATACTGTTTGACTAAATACTTTAGATCATTATCGTAACGATACTTCTACACTACTGACTACTGACTCTTCCGGGTGCCGCGCTGACCTGTGTCCGTTGACCCGAAGGTTCACGGAGATTTTCGGAGATGGCCGAGTTAGTCGACCGTGACCAATATGGAGATTTAGGCTGTATTTCGAACACCCCGGGGGCAATTCATCATCAGGAATGATGAATTAATGGTGATTTTAGTCCTGTTGATCTTCCTCTGCATCATCGTCTGGAGTTTCCTCTGGAGGTGGTGGATCTGATGGCAGTAGGCAAAGCTTGGTGATTGGTCTGTCAAGCTCTGTGTAGATTGTTCTGATGTTATCTATGATTGGTGATCCATCTGCCTGCCTTGGTACCTCTGCTTTTGCTGTTCTTATAGTTGCGACTCTCGTTAGTCCATCTGCTCCTGGGCGTGTCGCAATGACTCGTCCGATTGGCCATTGTGCTGGTGGATAATTTTCGTCGATCATCAGCACCATGTCGCCAACCTTGATGTTCTCTTCTCGATGCGTCCACTTGTAGATTGCTTGATATCGTTGAAGACACTCTTTGGCCCACCTGGACCAGAATTGTTGAGTTAGCTGCGTTACCAGGTTCCATCTCTGCAGTTTGCTAGGGTTCTTGTCGATGATTGATGGCTCTGGAATCAGTTGAAGAGGCTCACCTATCAGGAAGTGTCCTGGGGTGAGTACTTGGAGATCGTCTGGGTCATCTGACATGGGACAGATTGGCCTGGAATTTAGGCAGGCCTCTATCTGGATCACGACACTGTTGAGTTCCTCAAATGTGAGTGTTGTTGTTCCCAAGACTCTTTTAACGTGATATTTTGTTGATTTCACGGCTGCTTCCCACTTGCCTCTAAAATGGGGTGCTCGTGGTGGTGAAAAGCTCCATTGAGTCCCATTGGTGGCGAGAGCAGCCTGAACCTGCTGATTTTCTCTGGATGTTCGGTGGTAGATTTTCTCTAGGACCTCTGCTGCGCCCACGAAGGTAGTGGCATTGTCACTGTACATGACAGCTGGAATACCCCGCCTTCCGGTGAATCTCTTGTAGGCTCCGATGAAGGCGTCCGTTGTCTGCCTGGTGACTAGCTCTAGGTGAACTGCTGATGTGGTGAAGCACACAAAAACTGCAATGTGCACTGACCCTGGTTGTGCATTCGTTGGTCTCCATTTGAGGATGGCGAATGGTCCTGCATAGTCCACCCCTGTGTGGAGAAATGCTCTTGCTGGTGAGATTCTCGTTGCTGGTAGTTGACCCATCTGTTGGTGGGCCTGTCTTCCTCAGTGTCTGGTGCAGATGGCACAGCGTTTAATATATGCTCTAACTGTGCCTCTGCCGCCGATTATCCAGTACCGTTGACGGGTANCACCCCTGTGTGGAGAAATGCTCTTGCTGGTGAGATTCTCGTTGCTGGTAGTTGACCCATCTGTTGCTGGGCCTGTCTTCCTCGGTGTCTGGTGCAGATGGCACAGCGTTGAATATATGCTCTAACTGTGCCTCTGCCGCCGATTATCCAGTACCTTTGACGGGTATAGGCCAAGGTGAGTTGAGTTCCTCCGTGGAGTGTTTTGCGGTGAGCTTCTTCGATGACTAGTGTGGTGAGGCGTGACTGGCGAGGCAAGATTATTGGGTGAATTTCGTCTGGATTTAACTGCGAGTTCTTGAGGCGTCCCCCAAGACCCATGATCCTTTCGTTGTCTAGTGTGGGTATCAGCTTGGCTAGTTGATGATTTCTCGGTAGTTGGTGATTTCTCTGGAGTACTCGAATGGCTGGCCCAAAGTATTGATGTTGGGTTATCTTTACCCAAAATAACCTCGCGTCGTTGAGTTCTCTTGTTGTCAAGACAGGTCCCGGGGGCGTTGGCTGCCTCCTGAATCTGTCGATAGCTCTGTTGACCGTAGCTGTTACGGCTAGCAATTTAGCCATCGTCTGATATCTGTTGAGTAGCTCTGCAATTTCGTTGATTTTAATTGAACCTGGATGTGCTGGTGTTGGTTTTGCTTCTCTGGCCACTTCTGGGATGTCCATAGCTGGGGCGTCGATTGATGATTGTGGCCATTCTTCAGGATCCTGATTGATCCACTCAGGTCCTGACCACCACAGTTGATGATCTTCTAGCTGGCTCGGTGATATGCCTCTGGAGGCACAATCAGCTGGATTCTCCTTTCCACTGACATGTCTCCAGGTAGCATTCGGGAGAGTTTCCTGGATCTTGACGACCCTGTTGTGGACGAAGTCCTTCCATCTTGATGCGTGGCTCCTGATCCAAGCTAGTGCTACTGAAGAATCAGACCAGAGATAGGTGTCTACCTGGTCGAGTTGGAGCATTTTCTTCGTTGATGCCACTAGCTGAGTCAGTAGAAGATCTGCTGTGAGCTCTAGACGAGGGATGGTCATGCGCTTGAGTGGTGCTACCTTAGTCTTCGCGCATACCAGTACTGTTGATGTCGAGTCGTTGATGGTTTTGGTGCGAATATACACCACTGCACTCATCGCTACCGTTGAAGCGTCTGCAAATCCATGAATTTGGATGTTGAGTGTCTCTGTTGAAATTCTCAGCCATCTAGGTACAGTTATTCTGTCTAGGTCGTTGAGATTCTCTCGGAATGTCTTCCAGCGTTGAACATACTCATCTGAAAGAGGATCATCCCATTTTAGTTTCAATCTCCAAAGATCTTGTAGGAGAATCTTTCCCTGGACGACAACTGGTGCGATAAATCCCAGTGGATCAAAAATCTGGGCTATTTCTGAAGAGACTACTCTCTTGGTGATTGTTGTCGTATTGAAATCCTTTGATTTGTACCGGAATGTGTCGGTGGATTGATGCCAACACAATCCAAGTACCTTGGTGACCGACTCCTCGAACTGGATAATTTCTTCTTCAGTTGATAGGTCCAACTCATGCAGAGCCTCTGGACAATTGCTGCTCCACTTCTGTAGAGAGAAGCCTCCTGCATGGCAAAGCCCTTGTAGTTGCGTTGCGATCTCCTTGAGACCGTCTTCCGTCTCTGCACCGCCGTAAATGTCGTCAACGTAACGACCTCTGGTGAGTGTCTCTACTGCTGCTGGGAAGCGTTGCCCTTCATCGGGGGGTTTCGTTTGTACAGTCACACTTGCCCATTTCCACAGTTGCCCATAGACTGGTGAGGAATGAGATAGAACACTTGCCCCGAAACTCGCTTGCCCAAAAGAACAAGTGCCCATTTCCACAGTTGCCCAGAAGATTTACAGACGCCTAGTCGCGGTCGGTAAGGTAGGGTCCAATCAATTTTTATTCATAATCGGTCTCGATTATAATTACTCGATAATATTTATAGATGGCAGCCTTAGCTCCATTGAAAAGCAAACGACTGCCAAATGTGGGTGCTCAACTTCCACAAGTAGAAGTTCGAATTGCATGATCATAACGACAATGCATTTAATCCAAGTGATTTATTATTATCCTTTCATGGAGATAAGATGATAACATAATAATTCCACTATATTTTATCATTTGAAAATTGAAAATGAACTATAATTTCATACGACAATTGGTATGGTTTTGTTCCTTACAAATTTTTATTGTAATTAGGCTTATTATAAAAACAAAAATTGATGGTTTATTCAACGGATGGACGTTTAATAATAACAAAACGTGGTTAAAGTGAGTGCAGGCCATTAATTTGATCGTTTAATATTGTCAATTTAGATTACTTAGCAATTGGGTAACTTCTAGGGAAAAGTTCTTCGCATCTTTTTATCAAAATTTATTATCTATAGCATTTTGCTGAAATTTCCCTCATATCAGTTCACTATCCATATCACTTGGGTATTAGAGGAGAAAAACAATAGTTTCATAAGCGTTTTAATTTTTAATACACTTTCTGGAGAAAAACCATTCATTGCTCATTTAATTGAACACTCCTGAAATTACCAAAGGTCCTGCCTCAAAGACTTGCGAAGTCCTTTCATATTAGCTATAGAGACTCTAATTGTTTTGCATCACAACACTCTCTTGTTCGTATACCTCAACAATATATTGACAGCTCTGCGGAAGTACCGGATCTTGAATGAGATACTGCAGCACCTCATAATCATTCATAGCTGTTGCTTCCTGAATGCTACCTTTTGTAGAAGAATTGTCATTATTACTTGAGCTGTGCGCTGTATGAACTGAAGCTGATGTGGACGCCTTAGGCTTTCTGGTCTTCTTCGATGCCCGTCGACGCTTCTTTTTCACTAAAAGAAAAAATTAAGAAAATATACCGATAAAAACCTCTGCAGGTTTAAATAACCGAAACGATACATCTTCCCCTGTTGGATAAAAAAATCAGGGGCAGTTTACTATTCATTTTTATTTCATTTTTAAACTTTCACATTCTGACTTTTCAATTATAAAGTTTTCAACAATTTGAGGAGATTTGACAATAATTCCTTTCATTTACAGACAGTGAATATTAGGCAATGCAATACAACAGCAACGAGGACATTGAGAAACCATAATTTCTATCATTTTTTCCACGTTAATTCAGTATGGGTGAATCGTTCAGCATTCAATTTTTGTGATTTTTCGAGTTTTAATGACGCGATCTTTTTTGAATAGACTTTTTCTTCAGCATATTGTGAAATGCCCCATCTGTACAGGATTGAGGAGACATAGATACGATAGGGTGAAAATATTCGGTAATTGTGTGGGAAATTTAAGATTCCAATTGATGACTAATTTTGATTTCTTAGGCCGTCTGTGGCAACAAAAATTAGGACTATTAAATTGATACGAGTCCATTTCGAATTCTGACTCATTTTTATACTTTTTGTTTACCTCCGTATTCCTGGTCGTCGTCTACTGTCAATGGATTTATGTTTTCATCAGGTTCTTCTCTCAGCTTCCTTGGGAAAGATTTTTCTTGCTCCTCCTCAATTTCTTTTTGTTCTTGAGAAGGTAGACATTCCTTCAGGAATTAGTAGACTGCTTGCTCTGTGAACTCCCTGCAAAGTGAAGTATTGAATATGTAAATCGGATGAATAGAATATCAGTTTTGTGTGAAAAATCATATTTGGGAAACATATATTTTTGAATTAACAATCGTGGAAATACATTCAGTGGCTTTTTACACACCCCAATTTTCGCGGGTTAAGAATCGCCATAAACTTTATAGAAAACTGCACCGGCCATCGTAAGTAATTCCGGAAATTAGCGCCCCTCACTTAAGAACGTCCACGAATTAATATAAAATTTTATACAATTAAATAATCGCCCAGGGAATTTCTTACATTTTGCCATTGAATTTTTAAACAATTGTCGTTTTGAACATATTTATAGAATGTCTTATGTTAGATTCGGAAAAATTGGATTAGAATATAATACAATTTTTCGTTCCGAAAACAAAATAATTATTTTTGTTTAGTCGGATACTTATCTTCAAAGTGCTTGGCACATCTATCAATCTGCAAAGGGTTGAGGTTAATTTGTCTTAATGAAAAATCAAATGAATTTTGTAGATTTTTCCCCTTTTATTAGATAACAATATTCACAAAATGATCTCTCATTACAATCTTCCGATAAGTTGTCATTCATAACCTCGATTGGGTACTTCTGACAAATACAAATTCCTCTTATAATTCTTATAAAACTATATCCAATAAATTTGATTCTAGATCTTGACAATATTCGAGAGAGATAAAAATGATCCCTTTTTCCAAATTAGTATATGATTAAATTACTCACAATTAAGTTCCTGGAGATACACTATTTGCTTTAGTACACTCTGGACAATTATATTCAAAATTCCTCTTTCAATGATTTTATTCAGATGATGAGTCTTTATCTCACTCGTTAACTCGAATTCGCGCGTTATTTAGAATGTGAATACTCTCAACACGTTCTTCAATTTGCTTGAAAATCGAGAAATACAACAACGTTTCTGGAAGTGATTGCTACGATGGTGTGCGTAGTTGCAATCAAATAAACTTCCGATACTCGAATTACTAAATAAGCGCTGGGCAGAAATTATCACTGATTCCGAGCCAAGTATCTAATAATCGCGAGGAGTTCGCCCCTTTGATGTGCTCTCTTTTAGCACTAGGACAAGGCTGGTTAGTTTTTCTGGACTTTTTGGGTGGGCGAGCTCGATATTTCAACATGTGGGGTCATTGCCTGGTTGGCGTGATTCCGATGTGCGTTCTTTCGCCACCCTTTTGAACGGCAATGCCCTGCAGAATGCTTAGTTTGTGCATTCTCGTGAACGGTGCCGTATTTGCAGTTGAGAAATCGAATGGTTTATTCATTCGATTTTCTCGAATATTCTTTTTGAATATTTTATTTATTTAATATATTTTTTTTTTCAAACACAACATCCCCCCGATGAGGGATGCAGCCATGTGCTTTGGTTGCATCTCTCATCGCCGGGCTTCGTTCCGAGAATACAAGAGAAATTTTGAAAAGTCAATCATGGTATTTATTTAGCGTGATTTTTAATTCTCTGTGGTGAATTTATTTCGCGAAGTTATTTCGCCCGTTATCAGTGTTACTGACGGCGGTTGGCTGCTGTCTTAGCGTAAGCTGACCCCGGGTCGGATTACGTCTCGCTACGTGTGGGCATGCATTTGTCGCTCATCTGCATTTTAATTTCAGTGCTATTTTATAGTTCACTGGAGCAGGACGTGTTTTCCTTGTGTTGTGCATTTGTGCCTTTTGGATATTTTGAGGTTTTTTTTTTTGATTGTTTTTTATTCTTACGGTAAGTTTTTCTTCGTTCGTTTCTTGGGTTTCACCTTTTTTCCTTTTTTTTTGTTTGAATTCTGATGGTTTTGTTTGTTTGTACATTTAGATGGAAGGTTTTCGAAGCGAGGACGCCCTTCAGTGGCTAGACTGGTGGGTGGACAAGAAGGAGGAGGTGAGGTGTATTTGCTTTTTCGGGCCGGCCAATGGGCCTGTGTGGGTTTTTTGCCTCCTTTTTTGGGGGTCTATCTTTCGCCTCGGTGAGTTTGTTTTAGTGTTATTGTTGGGGTTCTTTGTTTTTTTTTTTGATTTTTTTGTGTTATATTTTTGGACTTTATTCATTTCTTTTTCTGTTTTTCTAGGAGGAGGAATTCGTTTTGCGTACCGTTGATTGGTACGGGGATTTTTTAGAGTTTTTGGCGGAGGAATTTGGGGTTTTTTCGGACCTGGAGGAGTGGCGAAGGAATCGGCCCCAGATTCTGTCATCTGCCACCGTGGTTCTCCTGGAGCGTTTTCCTCGGTTTTTCTTGAAGGAGAGGAGGAGGAGGGAGGCTGAGTGGGAGAGGCGGATGGCCCTGAGGCTCTTCACGCGGTGCGGTGGACAGAGAGGTAGCTGTTTTCCTTTTTGTTATTATTATTATTATTATCTATTTTTTTTTCTAATTTGTTTTTGCTTCTATTTTCAGGAGTCTCCCAGGGGGTGGCTCCTGGCGGCTGAGGTTGTGGTTTAGCCCCCCCTCCCCCCGGTTGATTATCGTGTTTTTTTTTTTGATAATAAATGGTTTCTGTAAGTATTTTTTTGGTAATTTCTATTGTTTCTGCCCCTTTTTTCTAGTTTCGTCTTCCTAGTAGTCGAGGATAATCGGTGCTCGGGATGTTTCGTTCGTCGTTGTTGTTTGGCTCGAAGTTGGCATCGCTGTTACTTGCTCGAGGACGACTGCGTGTTGGGTTCCCCTGGTTTTCATCGTTGTTGCCTGCTGCTCGATTGGCCGTATTCGGAGTATTTGTTCCTGTTGTATTGGTATTACTGCTGGGGACGCCAAGGTGATTTGTTCCAGTTTCTCTTGTTTTTCCTTATTTAACTTGACCTTCCTTTTCGTAGATCTGCATATGCTGCATACACATCCCCGCAGCAGAGACATTACGACGGTTCGCACTGCTATTTGACTGCACAGTGTATAGCCCATTCCCAACATTGATATGAACCCAATTCCCGCGAAGGAATCAAGCGTGAGTAGGCGGTGATGGTATGCCTCTTGCTTCTGTTGTCCTATTCTTTCGAGCTCTTTTTGGGTCTCGTCTAGGCTTGTCTCGATGTTTTTGTCCTTCAGGAGTTCTGGCATAGGGATTAGCTTGCTGTCCACCGTCTCCATTGATGGCACTTGGTTCGTGATATTTTTCATTAGCTCTTGCAGGTCTAGGTCTACTGCTGGCAGGTGGATTTTGCTTTTTTTTCCTTCCCATACACCTGTATGTGTAATTCGGTGTGTGGGGGTCTGGAGGT